AGAGATATGAACAGGCCTCCTGCCACGAACCCTTGCGAAGCTGGTCCTACTCCCAGAGGGCTGAGTCCTAACCTGGTGACACAACTGCAAGGCTCTCTGCCATGGATCTGGGGCACTCTGTACTGCAGGGAGGTCAAACAGAACAGGCCCATGCTGGCCAGTTCATCATAACTCTGTATAATATTCATACCCAATATCCCTGGGACCTCCGATCGAACCAAGGTCTTTAACTACCAGCACACCCTTTCTAGGAATAACTTTGCCCAACACCTCTACATCTAGTTCCAAATAGCCAAGATAAGGGATATCCAGCCCATTTGCCGCCCTCAACTGCAACCAATGACAGGGCTGAAATTTATCCTTAAAGTGCTGTTTGGAAAAAAAACTGTCACAGTAGACACCATTGAACCCGTATCCAGACATTTCACCTCCACACCTGCTAACTTAACAGATACCTGAGGACAGGGAGTAATCAATCTATCCACCCTTGCCCTATCCACTGAGTCATCATCCTTTGAGCCAGTAATGTCCCCTCCTAGTGGTTGGCTCTGCTTTTGCATAATGACCAACTTTTCAGACGTGCAAAACTGGACATTGCAGTTGCTATAAAAGGAGCATGACCTGCATGGGAGGCTTGAAAAGGAACCCGCTTATTATCACAATCTTTTGCATAATGACCAACTTCCTGACATCGCCTGCAAGCTACTTTTGAACGATCTGTCTTAACAGGACGTGTGGGTGTCCGCAACTTTAACAAGCCTTGTGTCAACTGGTCAATTTGTTCCTGCTGCTTCTGTAGCATCTTTGCCAATTCAGCAATTTGGGTTACCGTAGAACTAGACGAGCGGCTGGCTAAGTCATTAATTCCAACATTTTGCACAGCGCAAAGGGGGGACGCAGGGTAACCAGTACCTGTAAGATTGGACCTGCCCTCACGCTCCCACCGGATAGCTTCTGCCCAAACGTCCAATAAGGAAAGCCCTAAATCATTGCAAACCAGCCGCTTCAATTCCCTACGAAGAGCAGGGTCATTAACATTCTCTACAAACTGTTTTCGTAGCAACACGGCAGAGTTAGCT